TATTGTTCTGATATTGCGCCATAAATTAATTAAAGAAACGAATGAAACCACCAACAATATAAGCTTTGTGCCATTTTTTTAATTAGTTAATTTCATTTAATTTAATTTCATTTCAATTCAATTCAATTCATTAAATCTACTTTTCGCTTTTCGTAACAGAACAGGATTGACCGGTTTGATTGATGGAAGATCCGTATCTCTCAAATGTTTCAGGATTCTCAAATACAATTAAACCTCAAATAAGTAAGTATTTTACAATTTTGTTCTTCAATATTTTTTCCAAAATATTGAAGTAAATAATTTTAAAAAAATTTGCTATGAAATCCAAATGAATACTAACTCTGTATGGAAAAATCAATGGAATCGCAGTGAACTCAACTAAAATCTATCTAAATTAACGAGTAAACTGATTTTTTTTTTCAAAACTTTATTAAAAAAAAAAAAAAATAAAGTCAAAAATTTTGAAAAGAAAAAAAAAATTTAATCAAATTTTATCAAAAACTGACTAATAGAAGACAAATCAATCATCTCTCTTCGATCTCATCCATCCCTATAAATCTATTTTTAATTAATTTTCATCAATTATTGTTGATGAAACTATAATATGAATTCAAGTGAAGAATCAATAGATTCGATGGATCAATCAGAAATAATTTAGGAGAATCAAATGAAAATTGAAAAATTCAACGAATTCGACAAATTCAATGAATTTAACCAGAATTTTAATAGATTAATCAAAAAATTCGACAAATTTATTTAGCAATACTTTTTGTTGAAATAATTTATTGAAATATTTTAATTTTCTCAAAAAAATTTTTTTTGTCATTTTCCGAAAAAAAAAAAAAGAAGGAAAAATACTAAAGCAAACAAAATTGTTAGTATATTCTTTTTAAAAGATTGAAGAAAAAAAAAAAAAAATTTTTTTTTTTTCTTTTTTGTTTCGATTTGTTGTTGATAGATTTGAAAATTTTTCAATAGAGTATTAAGAAAAAAAAAAAAAAAAGAAAGAAAGAAGCAAAGAAAAATTTTTGTCGAATTATTTTAGATTTATTTTTACAAAAGAAAAAGAAAATTAAGAGAGGAAAGAAGGGAGAGCAAAAGGGAGAAGAAGAAAGAGGAAAGAGAAAGATGAAAAGAAAAGGAAGTGAATTTTAAATGAAAAGGAAATGCTAAATTCATCGATGAGAGGTTAGAAAAAAAAAAATTATTTGAAAAGAGAGGGCAAAAAAATTACTTTATTTGAATAAATCATCGATGAATAATTTTTTTTTTTTGAAATTATTTGTTCAGATGAAATGCACATTGTAATTTGTAAAAAAAAAGGATACTTTATTTTTTTTTTTTTTTAAATATTTTTTGAAATTATGAAAGAAAGATGAATTGAATTGTATATGAATTATATTCATGTACCAATATTCTTATATAATTAGTCATTTTCAATTATTTGTTCGTTTGCTTAAAAAATTATTGTAAAATTTTGATGTGTAATCCATTTTTTCTCTTTTTTTTTTCTTTCTAAATGTTTTCTAAATTAGAATTTCGATTTAGAATTTCTTTTTTCCTTTTTATTTGCAACCGTTGTTTTTTTTTTTTTCAATCGATACTTTTTGAAATTTTCATACATTTTCACTTTTTTTTTTTTTTTTTTTCTCTTTAAAATATTTGATGGCGAACTGTTTGTAAAAGAATTTTGTTATATTCCTTTTTTTTTTACTTTTACTTTTTTAAATTAAAATTTGAAGTTAATTGAAAGAAAAAAAATTAAAATAATATGTATTGCTTAAGTTAGCAAAATTGTACTGTATTTTTTTCAAATTTTCACATGAAAAATTTCTTTTTTTCTCTCTCTCTCTCTCTTTTTTTTTTAATTTCTTCATTCTTCAATAATCATTTTTCAAGTTAGTAAAGTAAAATAATTTTTTACTCAAATAGGCGTAAATTGATAAATGATTGTTAGATTGACGTGCATAACACCTATTAAACAACATAGCGCATCTATCTTTTTATGTTAAAGTATTTTTATTTATTTTTTTATTTTTTGTTGTTTTTAAAATTTGCTTATTTTCAGCATAAAGAAAAAAAAGACGAAGGTAGCAATTGTTTTCTTGATAGGAGATAAAAACAAGAGAGATTAAAAAATGATCTCATTTTATATTTTGAAAAGGAAAATAAGAAAAAAAAATAACAAACAAGGAAAATATTTGCATTAAAAAAAAAAAACGAATTGAATTTTCTAATTTTAATTTCAAATAATTTAACCAATAAAATTTTGAATGACACCATCAAATAGAATGTGCTGTGCTCAGACCAGCTTAGATTTCATTGAATATTATTTATGCAATTATTACTCACAAATTTTGATTGAAAAATACAAAAAAAAAATTCTTAGAATAATATATTTCTCGATTGATTACTTTCAAATGCAATAAATTTAATTAAAAATTGTAAACCATTTATGACATAATTTTAACATTTATGTATTTTAACATTGTTCTCCAAACAATTGTACAGTTGTTGGGTCAATTTTTGCGATATAAATTTTTTTTTCAAATTTTTTCATTATATAATCATTTATTAACCAACTAAATTGTCTGTAATAAATACGAGAATTATTTAGTTTTTTTTTTTTTTTTTAAATTCATCATTTCTTACCAATTTTTCACAAAAAAGCGAACAAAATTTGTTACCAATTTCTAAGGGTTTTATTCTGAAATTATATTTTAAAAGAAAAGGAATCAGAAATTATTTGCATATTTTAAAATATGCAATTTAAAAAAAAAAAAAGGACAAATGGATATTGTCAACGATATAACACATCAGAATAACAAATGATTCTGTAATGCTTCTTCCCTTGCCAATTCTAGAGGAAAATGATTTGAAGTCTTTTTGGCTAACCATAATTTATGATTAATTTAAATTTTTCTTTTGATTAGAATATTTTTTTATGCTTAAAATAAGATTGCATTTCCTGTCGTTTTGATTTCGATTTATTCGTCATTTCATGCTTTTTGAAATTAAAAATGCAAAAAAAAAGTGATTAAAATTTTGATTGTCTCACTTAAAGATTTGAAATTTATCAATCAAATTTGATTTAAGACAAGAAATAGTAAAGCAGTGAATAAAAAGTTTGAATTAAATATTGTTTAAATGTAAGCACTTAGTATTTACTCCAACATTACATTTGTTCATCTCCATCAGTTAAACTTTCCAATCCCATTTGTGTACTCAAATGAGAGAACTTAAACCAAAATTAATTTAAAAAATAAATCCCAAAAGTTTTAGGCTTAATCAGTCAAAAAATATCAAACTATATATTATCATTATTATTTCAATGAATGGCTATTATCAGTAATAATAATAATAATAATAATAATAATAATAATAATAATAATAATAATAATAATATTGTTATTACTACTGGCAGAAGCAATAATAATAATAATAATAAAATAAAGGGTAAAGGTCAGAGAAAAAAAATAAAGAACAAAGGTTAAATAATGAAGAACAAAGACCAAAGATATTTCAATAAATGAAATAAAAATTCATAGCAAGCAGAGTATAAATTAGAAATTAAAGATGAAATTAAGGAATGAACAAAGAATTAGTAATAAAGGATAAAGCTTAATTAGTAAAGAGTAAAGAATAAATCGAGAGCAGAGACTGTCGATTAAAGAATAAATGATTAAATGAGGAATAGAGGATAAACAGATATGAGTAAGAAACAAAGAATAAAAATTGAAAGAGTAAGAAATAAGAAATCAAGACTAAAAAAGGTTAAAGGTTAGTGATTAAAGAATGAAGATTTGCTTAATAAATAATAAAGAGCAACAAAAAAAAAGAATAAAGATTAAAGAACAATGAATACAGAACAAAGAATAAAAAATAGATTAAAGATTAAAATAAATAGTTAAAAAAATATAAAAATTAAAGAATATGGAATAAAATTAATGAATAAAGTGCATTGAATGAAAATTACAAATTAAAGAATAACAATGAAGGAAGAAGGAATAAAGAATAAAATTGGGAATAATAATAATAATAATAATAATAATAATAATAATAATAATAATAATAATAATAATAATAATAATAATAATAATAATAATAATAATAATAATAATAATAATAATAATAATAATAATATCAGTAATTGCAGTGAAAATAATAATGATCATATTGATAATGATAATAATAATAGTAATAGTAATGATATAATCAACTTATTAATATGAAATTATACATTTCTAAAATCATAATTTTGATAATGCAATTTTATTTGATAAAATAATTGTTTCATAGCAAAACGATAATTATTATCCTTTAAAATGAAATAATACTGTCATCTTCATTATCATTATCATTATCATTATCATCATCATCATCATCATCACCAGTATAACTATTATCGGTGTCATTGGCACCTCCTTGTTCACAGATGGCATCATTGTCACACATATTCGATGGGATGGGTTTGCAACAACAACATCATCGGTACTGCTTACGCCTTCAGCCAAATTCACTTTTCACAACTCATCAACCTCTGTAATACACTCCTGCATCTTCTATTAATTATATATTTACTATTTGTTGACAATAAACAGATTGTTTGTTGTTATTTACTACTACTAACTATTGCTTAATATTATTATTATTATTACTATTATTATTTCGAGAATTGATACGAATATTTTGAATACTAACACGAAAATAGAGCAAAAGTCAATATTGTTGACCTCATATCGATCGTACATTATTTTTGATCACATAATATCTACACTATTTTTAAGGAACTATATTAATCCTATTAAATTGATTAAAATTCTCAAATGCATATAAACTGAAAAAAAAAAAATTTTTTTTTTTTCATAATTTACTGATTTTCTTCCTATCATAGATAAGCGGTAAATTTTTATATTTTCCGACTGAATTTTCGGAAAAAAAAAAGAGGAGATCGAAAGAATAAACAAGTAAACAAAGAAAAGAAGCAAAAAACATCTATGATGTTTTCATTAATACCATTTTTACGATTAATATGTATTATATCATCTGTTAATCATTCAGTGATAACAGATGCATTTGCTGATAATGAAACTTTATTGGAAAATTATCGAACCACTGGGTAAGTTAATCTTTTGATCGTTTCTCTTTTTCTTTCTCTACCTACAGTTTTTTTTTTTTGTTAAATTTAAAGTTTTAAATTTTATGAATATAATATTAAAATTGATTAGAAACAATTGAAATTGATTAAAAATATTTTATAATAACTTTTGTGTTAAAGTTTAATTCGTATAATACTGAAATCGATCAAAAATCGATAAACATTTATTACTCCATTTTTCTCGCTATAAACATCCCAATTAATTTCAGTTTTCGAATTCTTTGCAAAAGAATAATTAGTTGATAAAAAGTTATCGACAGCATCTCTCTCTCTCTCTCTCTCTCTCTCTCTCTCTCTCTCTTTCATCTTTCTCATTAATCCGTTAATTTATCAGTGAGATTCACTTACCTAAATTAATTGTTTCGTATTTTCTATGATTTGGTACAAAATTACATCATATTAATTATTCAAATTTGCATATTATTTACTTAAGTTTAATGGATATAAGTTTTTTTAGGAAGAATTTTATTTATGAATTTTATTAAAAAAAAAAAAAAAAATGAAACATTAAATAATTTGCTAAATGTTTAATGTCTTAAACAAAGAGGAAATAGTCGTACACTTTTGAAGTTTAGCGCAACTTTTCGCCTTCTTTTATTTCAATTTTATTTATAATTTTTGGATAGTATTTTAAATGATTTTTATATTATTATATAGTAAATATTATATTCGATTTGCATTCAGATTTAACACATTTAAAATTATTAAAACTCTTGAAATTATAATAATAATATCGAACTGTTTCTATTCGTTTTTAATGTTCTCAAATCACTAAAAAATTGTTAACATAATTTAATTTATCTATTCATGAATTTCATATCCTGTTTTGTTTAGTAATCTAGTTTGCAACTTCTTTTTTTTTTTTTTTTTGATTTAACAAAAAATTACTTTAATACATTTAACTACCCACACATCCACAAAATCATTTCTGATAAAATATAATATGAAGAATTAACTTTCCGATTAGCTAGGACAATCCTTTTTATTGATAACAAATTTAATAAAAGTGCTGGATCGAAATTAAATTAATCTTTGGTAATGATTTCAAATTAAAAAAAAAAAAAAAAAAAGGAAAGATTTTTAATCTTTAAATTACTTATCCACAATACATTGAAAAAGATTTTAATTTTGGATTTGCTTCAATTAAATATAAAAAAAATTTACTTATTTATTTCCCAGTCTGCATTTATTATTTTGCACTTTTGGTGATGAAAAAAGGAAAATTAGGAAGGAAAAGTTAACTAACTGCTCCAATTGATATTTCTCGAAAAAAAAAAAATAAACTTTCTCGAATCTGCAACAAAAACTACATTTATATTTAAAAATGCAACCAACAACAACAACAACAAAACAATTATCTTAGATAATTATGCAGATGTGAAACAGTTCTGTTGCTATCCTAGATAATTTTCAAAAAATCTTTCTTGAAATTTCCGAAGTTTTATTTAATTTAAAAAAAAAAAAAATCACTTAATATCATAATGATATATTATTTTAACTTTGTAAGTTAATAAATTTGCACTTAGTCATTTTAAAAAAAGAAAAATTAAAAAAAAAAAAATGTACAGTCAATCTACTTCATTTTAAATTTACTTAATCAAATTAAGATTAATTACCACAAGATGTAATGGAATTAAATATGCTTTTATTATGATAGTTTTATTTTATAAATAAAATAATTTTTTGTTTTTGAGAAAGGATTTTGTTTAATATGGAAAGTATTTAAAATTTTTTCTTTTCAAAACAAAATTTAAGACCTGATAGATCATCAAGAAAAATTGATTTGCCGAAGCGAAAGGATCTATTGAGTGATCGTGAAATTGTCGACAATTTATTACGTAATTATCGATTTCCAGGTATTTTACATACTTTTACAATAATTTTGATTGACAAATTTATCAGAAAAAAAAAAGGAAGGAAGGATTAGTCGAATAAAATTGTAAAATTTTCTTTAAAAACTAAAATTCTATACTTACTATTTTCGGATTATTAAAAGATTTTATTAAATTTTTCAATTATACAGATTTACAAATGCAAATAAATGCAAGAAATAACTTTACTTAAATTTAATAACAAATTTAAATACGTCAAATCAATGATAACTTAATCACTTTTATGATTATTTCACGTTTCACGAGGGCCATTTCATTTATATAAATGAAGTAATAGTCGTTCTTTTTGGTTATCGTTTATTCTTGCTGTAAAATCCCGTAATTGATATTTCCGGTATGAATTTCCGGTATATATGATGCATAATGTTGCGGAGCTTATCTTGCTAATTCTGATCTTTTCTTTTTTTTCTTCGTCTCTCTTTCTTCATTATTTATAAAATTTGAAAATATCAAAAAAAAAATTGTATAGATATATGCACTACATTTTTCACGTGCGTGCACATTTCACGTATACGTAAGTCATGTCAAATATTTCTTTCATCTTCAATAATAAATGTTACAAAAAGTTTGTGACAATTTTCTTTACTACTTAAAGAATGCAATGTTTTCCTTCCGTTTTTTTTTTTTTTTTTTTTTTGCTTCTTAAATTTTGCTTTTTGTTAATTAATTAATTAATTAATTAAACATTTATCTGTTTCAGATTCATCAGATAATGTAACCGTTGCTGTACATATTTCAATCGATCGTATATTAAATGATATGGAACATGAAGTTAGTAAAGATTTTGTTTCGGAATTTAAAAAATTTTCTTTTTTTCTATTTTCAAATGGAATTATTATTAATTAATTTTATTTTGCAATGATTGTAAAGAAAAAAAGAGAGAGAGAGAGAGGTAGTGAGGAAAGGAGAGACAGACAAATAAGGTAAAAAGAAACAGTGAAATCTAATATTTTTATTGTAAATAAATAAAAAATGCATCCATTTTTAAAAGTGAAGAGATATTGGATACTTTTGTTTGTATAATTGTGTGATAATATGTTTATATATAATTTACGTATAAACAAAATATTTACGTGTAAACAATGCTAACGTAAATTGTTGAGAATTTTATAAAAAACTAAAAACAAAACAAAAGGAAAAAAACTTTTTTTATTTTTTTAAAATATTATTGTAGTGCAATTTTTGGTTAACAATAAGACAAAAATGGGTGGAAAAACGATTAATTTATGAAAAGGAACGACCGAATGGTGCACATATCCGATTGCGTTCAAGTAATTCATTTCATTTCATTTTAATTTAATTTTTTTTAAAAAAAAAAGTTACCCAGAGAATAGAAAAAAATAAAATTATTCACCCGTGCATTGTGTTACCTATCCATGGGATATTTTATTATTATTATTATTATTACTATTATTATTACTATTATTATTTTTATTATTATTATCATTATTATTGTTATTATTATTATTTTATTATTATTATTATTATTGCTGTTATTTTGTAAAATTATTTAATAATTGTTTTTAGGCTCTTATATTTGGAACCCATTAATTACAATATCAAATGCATTGGAAATTCGAATGATTGGAAAAGAGGAAGTGGAATTGCATAGCAATGGAATGGTGGAACTTACACAAAAGTTTATATAAACTTCCTTTGGTTTAAAACTTTTTTGAAATTTATATCATCACTTCTTTTTTTATCTTTAATAGAATTTACTTATATATGTATAAATTATTCAGGTGAAAATGATAAATGGAATGAAAAAGATTAGATAATATAAATAGAAACGGAAATAGTAATAATAATAATAATAATAATAATAATAATAAAATAAATGCGCACATTTCAAATAAAATTTTCTATAATAAATTTTAAAAAAAAAAATTTTTTTTTTTTAAATTCTTTTGTTGTAGTTTTCGTTATTTCATATAATAAAAGTTGTGGTAATAATTTACATTAAAGATTATTGGTGAAAACGATGGAAATTCATGAATTACATTCATTTCCATTTGATGAACGAAATTGTTCACTAATCTTTCACAACGGTAATCATTTTTATTTCTATCTTTCTCAAACAATTAATATTTTTTTTTTTTTAAAAAAAGAGAAAATTAAAGTTTAGGGCAATTTAGCTTAATTTATAGAAAAAAAATTGATATGGAAAATTTAAAATATTGAAAAAAAAAAAGGAAGAAATCAAATTAAATTTCATTTTTTGGTAATTAATGTAAATGAAATGATTGAAAATTGATGATAAAATTTGTTCTATTGATTTTTCGCATAATTTAAAAATAATAATTTTAGAAGATTCACGAGCTCAATGGACAGGAATAACATCAATTACAGTATCAAAACTTGGCTGGGGTATTTGGATAGTACTTGGCTGTGAACGTATTGGTAAAACTATTATCCTAAGTCTAAGAAGGTATTTCCTTTTTTTTTTTTTTTCTAGGAAATTTGAAATTTGGATTTTTTTTTTGTTTTCGATTAAAAAAAGAAATGAAAGTAAATATAAAAAAAAAAAAGTTTTCATTTTCTTCTTGCCTTGAAATTTAACTTTAACTTTGAAGTTAAACAAAAAAAAATATGTAAAGTATGCAAAATTTATACCAGAAATTTGATCGCTTTCAATCCTTTACAATTAAAAATTGCTGTTTAATTCAAAGTCTTTCAAATTTCCGCTTTTTTCTTCTTCAACTTTCAGTCATTTAATCATACATTAATTGCCTTTCATTAGTTATATTTCAAATTATTATTATTATTATTATTATTATTATTATTATTATTATTATTATTATTATTATTATTATCATTAATTATTATTCCAGATCAATAATGATTTGGATCTGGACACTATATGCGCCAACAACAATCCTATTTTTCTGTTCGTGGTTATCACTTTGGGCTGCAAGTAATTCGGCCAAACATCGTTTCGTTATCACTACTACAAGTTTTTTCACTATACTCATCATTGTAAATACTTATTTTATTGTTCAAAAAAATAGAAAAAAGAAGTGAGAGAAAAAAAAAGACAAAAAATATCTCATAATAATAATAATTATTTTTGCTATTATTTATTTATTTTTTTCAAATTTAATACAAAAAAATACTTTTATGAAATTGCAAAAAAAAAAAAAAAGTAAAAAATACTTTTATGAAATTTGCAAAATTTTTCAAAACAAATTTCGATGAGTTTTTTTTTATCAAAAACTATATAATATGCATAAATTGAAACTTGAAATAGATGATTTACTCAGGTTAATAAATTAATCTTTAAGTACCATTCTTAAAAATATCTTTCAGGCTATCAGTAATAAATGGAATGTTACACGAACATCATATCTAAAAGCAATTGATATTTGGAATTTGCAAATTATTGCATTTGCTTTTTTTATCGTTCTCCAATCTGTTTTTATGACCAAGAAAGTAGTGGAAAAACAAAAAACATCGAAACGAATATATGTAAATTTTTTTTTATTTATAATTTTAACATTTTTTTTTTTTATTAATTCCGATTTGTAGCCAAAAATTTCAAATGCAATTAATGCTTTCAGATTAATCTATTTTGTTTATGGGTAATAACAATGATAATAATAACAAGAATAAAATAACAGTAATGATAATAGTGATAGTAATAAAAGACCAAATCAAAATTCAACTATAATATATTTGAAATTTTTGTAGAATTTTGGTGATGAATGTAATGAGAAGACACAATGGTTCAATGAAATGCCTTATTATGCGCATCTACCGGAACGACAACCAGCAGCTTTGATAAAAATTGTTGATTATATTTTTCGAATTATACTACCAATTATTTTCTTAATCATTTGCACTGTTTATTTTATTCATTATACTTATCTCAATAAAAGTTAAAAAGATATAATTTATCAAATTTTATTGCAATGATCTCATTATTTCTTGAGAAAAATGTTGAAATTTCTCACATTAAAAAAAAAAAAAAAAATGGAATTCCTTTAAAAATTCTTTCAAGCAACTAGAATAATGTTCATCCTGTTTTTTTTTTCTTTTTGTTTTAAATTTTATTTTATTTAAGTAAAATATCTGTTGATTATTTATAATGATTATTTTCCTTACTGAATTATTATTTTTAAAATGCCTATTGTATTTGATTACTTCCATTTAACTACAAATAATAGCATTGAATTATAATTCAATCGTTTATGGAATATTTTATATGTAAGTTTACTATGACTAATGTAATATCAGTTTAGCTTATCACGAAAAAAAAAAATACCAAAAGGAAAAAATCCCAGGAAAAGAATAAACATATGCAGAAGTTTGATTGGTTTCGAGATATTTATTCCAATATCAGCTAAACTCAAGAAATTCCAGCAATACAAATTTCAATAAAAAAAGATATGTTGAAAGATATATATTCACCGAGATAATATGCATATAACTTCTTCACACAATTTCATATACTATTCAAAAAAAAAATAAATAAATAAATAAATAAATAAATAAAAATAAAACAAATAACAAAAAAACAGAAAAATAAATAAAATTTTTCAAAACAACAGAAATAAAATTTTAAAAAATGTATATTTATGATCCAGCATTGAAATAAATTTCAATGCGCTCTACCTGTAGTTGTTATATATATATAAATTAGTATAGCTGACAGAAGATTGACAGAAAGAAAGAATAATACACAAATGGTACTTTTAATGATACCATTCATCACTACCGCCTGTTATCATTATCATAATACGATAACCGACACAAAATGCTACCACCTGCACTTATTCCTATTTTCATAAATTTCCTTTTTTCAAAAATTAAAAAAAAAATGCAATAAGAAATTCCTCAAATAACTATCACAAAAATGTCAGTTAAAACTTATTTCAAATTTTCGATCAAATTAAGACAAATATATAGATGGGATTGAAACAAAAACGAAAAAACAAACGATAATCACATTACGATGATGCAAAATGATTTTTTAATAGAGATTTTTGTTAAGAATAATTTTCTGAAATAAACACACTTATGCTGCATTATGCAATCAATCACATACTTCATTATGATGACAAAAATTACCGGAAATAGAAGTGTGACCAATTGCAACACCTTTTGTTATACGTTGTGGAATTTTATACGATGGACAAAGAGCAGATATTCGGTGAAAAAAATTTTCTTTTTCAACCTAAAACAAATTTAACAATTTGAAAACTAGAAAATAAGAAATGAATTTGAATACAACAGTAAAATCATTTCATTTAATTAGATATAACAAAATTTTTTTAAAAAAATAGGCTAATTTTAGCTAGATAAAAAAAAGAAGAAAAAATTGTAACATAGCTTCAAAATACTATGAAGTCCAAAAAAATGTGCCTGAATGAAAATAATACGACAGGATAATGTTAAAATTATTTACCTGAACTGATGCCTGTGTGATATTGATCGATTTTAAAATTTTTAAGATTTTTAGTCGTATGATTTGATCATTTGCATCATCACTAACTTGAACATGCAAGGATACGATATTAAAAACAGATTTAAGTTGCCACAAATGAACATTCGAATAGGATATCACACCTTCCATGTTTAGAATCTAGAAACAAAAAATAGAAAATGGGCATGTAAACACTTAATATATTCATAATAAGTTGATTTATCCCTGAAAATACTTAGATGTTAAATATTATTTCCCGTGAACATGCAAATATATTAAAAAATAACAATAAGTTGTTCCTAATTACTGTTGTATACATTTCATTAACACAGTTATTTATAAATATGCGATGTGTTAAACTCTGCACGGTTACCAAAAATTTATCAACCTCTGTAACGAAATATTAAATTTTCAAAAAAACTAATTATGCTGAAAATGATCACCTTCGATAATCAAATCAATTTTTTTTTTCAAACTTGAAATTAAAAATTTTTTTTAAAACTGAAAGAAAAAGAGGATAAAAACCTCATGCAGAATGTGTTCAAATTCTTCCTCTGTTTTGGGCGGCATATTCTGCATTAATGTAGCCATCGATTGTTTCAATAATGGTATTACTGAACCAAGAATAAGCATTGATAAAATTAACGAACATAATGGATCAACCCATTTCCAACCGAAATATTGAATCATTAGGGTACTGATTATCACAAACACGGAACCAAGCGTATCAGCAAGAACATGTAGAAAAACACCTACCAAGAAGATAACATTTAATGCTTCATTTTCATCAGCCAGAAAAAAGAAAAAATTGTATTTCTTAAGTTATGCTGTATCCTTTCTTTTAGTATTATTGCCAAGTTAACGAATTTTGCAACAGCTAATATTATCTATATTGAAACAGATGAGATAATAATAAAGTATTGCCATCTCTAATGAAAACCTGCAGTATGCACTGTCCTCGGGTTATCTAACTACTAACTAACTACGTATTGGTAAATCTTTTACAAAGTTAAATATTGCAATCAGTTACTAAGATATTTTCATTTAAAGCCAGTTCAATTATATAAATGTTTTGTCTACCTATCATTTTTGGAACTCTTTTATGTTAAAATACCAAAATAGGCAAACCTTGCATATTAGCATTTGCTTCTCCATGTGAATGAGAATGAGAATGTGAATGTGAATGTGAATGCGAATGTGAATGCGAGGCGTCGTTATGCGAATGCGAATGACTGCCATCATCGCCATGAGAATGCGCATGTGTTGCACCGTGAAATGCAAACATACCAAATATATTTATTATTAGACCAGCAACTGCTACTATCTAAATCAAATATAGAATCAAAATAGTTTAATCAACGAATAGATTAAACTAAATGATTGAGCAAATATTAGTATGTTACTCTTTCTGATATATCTAGCAAATAATCATATCAGTACATATTGGAGCAATACATTGAATTATTACTTATTGTCATTAATTCAATCAAAAGCAGAATTCAACATCTGAAGAATGCAGTACACTACCAAACTTTATCAAATATCCTTCCTATTCTAATAGCATAAACAACAAAATGAATCGATACCTACAGGATTATTCCAATCAGCATTACATATCCTTATTTTTAAAACGTAATTTTATATGATGAAAAAGCTAGAAGATTAGTAATCTAGGTTAACAAGTTCATTTAAAAACTATCCAATATTTGCAGTCGACTCTGCAAAATCATAGTGTTCCATTTTTTTTTTTCGTTTTTGGTCGAAAAAATGGAGAAAACTATAGCAGACAAGTCAAAAGTAGCAAAAATTCTTTTCTCGCTAATTTATAATAAAAACTAGAATTAGTGTTATACCATTAGTTTGTCAGTGCTGATATCTGGTGGATCATACAATCGTTCTAACGCTTCCAAAAATATAAAAAACGCAATAACAATAAGGAACAAAGCGTTTATAAACCCTAGAAAACAGTAATATTAAGAATGCATTAAGTACAATTTAAGCAATACTTTCACTGCAAAGTTGTATCTGTACTAGATTAACTTGAAAAAGTACAATATGTACGATAAACAAAAATCAAAAATTCATTCGCAATATCTAGCAAATAATCACACAATCAGTTACCTGAGAGTACTTCCACTCTCCCATACCCATAAGAATAATATTTTGAAGAAGGCCACCGTGACATTACAGAAGCAACAAGACCCATTACCTGAAATATACATTGAGAATGTGAATTACCACATATAATAGAACACAAAATGTTTTTCATTTTGAAATAAAACTGCACATAGAAAAACGAAAAGCTTACAAGCGCAGAGCAATCGAAAAGCATATGGAAACCATCGGATATCAATCCAAGGCTATTTGTCCAGAAGCCATACAAAAATTCAATTCCACAAAATGACTACAAAAATTCTATATAAAAAATTTCAAATCCAATACAAAAAAAAAAAAAAATGTCAAAAACCACAACATTCACTAATGACTGAAATACAATAGTAAAGTTGTAATAGGAAAATACCAAATTGGCACAAAGGAACCAAAATATTCTACGAGAATCTGTATTCGCCAGTATTTCCGCTAAAGTTTCTTTGATCAACAGCATTATTGATCTGAAAAAAGCAATTGATTAATAGTATGCAAAAGAATACCTAAACAAGTTTATTGAAGTCATAATATAACAGGAATATAACAAGATATTCAATATAAATGACAAAAATATCATGCTATTCTGAAAAAATTAGTTAAGATATATCACAGTGAATCAATGCATGAATCGGAAAGAATGGAAGATCAAAGACATATAATTAAAGAAAGCATCTAATTAAGAATATAATAGTCTGAAGTAAACGATTGAAATAACACTTTTGGCAAATGATGAAGTAATAACATTTCACAAACCTTGAAGTTTTTTGCAAAAATGCTTCACCATAAGTATATAATGGCATTCCACTATCCGATAAGCCAACATAATATCCACCTCTGGAACGTGGACTGGTCGAGGACGTTAGGGAGAAACAAGCTGAAATGATTTGATTAATTTTCTTGACTAAACATTTGCTATGGAATTGTGCATCTTTTTTTGAAAAAAACTTGCTAACAATTCAAAAAGAAAGAACGAAATGGAAGGTGATAAGATCATTTAAGTCAGTATCTGTATCTACCAGCAGGATCATAACTATATGCAGTTATAAATGAGCCAGGAAGGGGTACAATCGATAATTCGGTAATTTAGAATTTTCACCGACCAACTGTTGTGGCTTGTAAGCTTTTAAAAGTTTATATATCGCGTTTTAACAAGCCTAACCTTTAACACTTCTTTACCAAAATAAGATAGGATATCTGTACTAGATTATACGAAATACTAATAGCATATACAGGTAAACAATATACCGATAATGAAACATAACAGCGTCAACAATACTCCGCCTGAAATAACGTGAGCGTCAGATGCGTG